TCACGTCGGGGGGGTGGCCTGGGGGGAGCGCCGGCGAGGTCGACTGGGGGGGCCAGGTGACGCCGGCGAGGTCATGTTGGGGGTGGCCTGGGGGGGGGAGCGCCGGCGGGGTCGACTGGGGGGGCCAGGTGACGCCGGCGAGGTCATGTTGGGGGTGGCCTTTGGGGGAGCGCCGGCGAGGGTCGACTGGGGGGGGCCAGGTGACGCCGGCGAGGTCATGTTGGGGGGTGGCCTGGGGGGGAGCGCCGGCGAGGTCGACTGGGGGGACCGGTGACGCCGGGGGCGGGATGTTGGGGGGTGGCCCTGGGGGGGGAGCGCCGGCGAGGTCGACTGGGGGAGCCAGGTGTACGCCGGCGGAGGTCATGTTGGGGGACCACCTGGGTTGGCCAGTTGGAGCCCAGGATCATCCCCCCCCCACGGACCACAACACACATCCATGTGTGTATATATATATCCAGGTGTGTGGTGGTGTAGTCGGGAGTCAACATGGACCAACTGGCCATCGATATATATATTCCATCAACGCCCTAATCTCCCCCGGAAGCATAGGGGTGGGGTACCCCGAGCCAGGGAGCCTTCGGGGGGCGCTCGAGAGCACCCCGCCGAAGCCATGCCCGAAGGGTCCAACCACGTGACTTTGCAAATGAAAACGACTGAAGTCCCCCAAAAGTCACTCAGGGTTGGGAAAAAGTGGCCCACTTTGTATGGTGTTTTTTTGTCGGTGCACGGACCACCCCCTTACAAAAATTGTCCCGCCGGAGCAATTTCTGAAGCCACTTCTACCGCAATATGAAAAACTCATCCCAAAAATGGTCGGTGAGTATGTGTAGAGACCGAGGATAACTCCACTCTAATTCTTCCCTGCCATTTCATCCCCTTCGGGTTTTGTTGGTGGCCGCTCCTCGTGCCGCACCGCAACTCTCCGGGGGGCTTACCCACTGCAGGGGTGCGCCCGACGCCCACCAACTCTTGACCCCCCCCCCCCATCCCCTCCTCCCCGCGCAGTGTCCCACTTTTTGGCGACGCCCGGCCTGGATTGCTATAGGGCAGGACTTGACGCGCTGCTGGTTTCTGGTGTACCGCTGCGGTGACCCGAGGCCCAGGGGCCTTTTGGCGCCCGGCACCGTTGGGTGTGGATCGTTGGCCGCTGGGCCATCCTCCGAAACTCAGATTCCTGGAGGGAGCCGCCCCGTGGGATCCGCCGTTCGCCGGCGTTGTCCACGGGGTCTGGTCCCCTTCATCCGAGGGCCACATGCCGCAGCCCTCCAGCGCCTTCACGGGCGCCTGGTCGGATCCCTGCGTGCGGACTGGTGCTGAGGAGTTTAGTGGGGGCAATTGGATGGTTTCACGTCCCCCCCGGTACGCCGGGGGTGCCGCTGCGACCGGGCGCCCCGTGCGCCCCTTCCATCTAACTACATTCTACCCCCTCGGGGGTCTGGGCTCCCCGGGACCCTCCACCGCAGGGCGGGCGGGCCCCCCGGGACGTCTTGCTATGAAGTTACCTGGTTGATTCTGCCAGTAGTCATATGCTTGTCTCAAAGATTAAGCCATGCATGTCTAAGTATAAGCAACTTGTACTGTGAAACTGCGAATGGCTCATTAAATCAGTTATCGTTTATTTGATAGTACCTTACTACATGGATACCTGTGGTAATTCTAGGGCTAATACATGCTAAAACCCCGACTTCAGGAAGGGGTGTATTTAATTAGATAAAAAAACAACGCCCTTCAGGGGCTCCTTGGTGAATCATAATAACTTAACGAATCGCATGGCCTTGCGCCGGCGATGGTTCATTCAAATTTCTGCCCTATCAACTTTCGATGGTAGGATATGTGGCCACCATGGTGGCAACGGGTAACGGGGAATTAGGGTTCGATTCCGGAGAGGGAGCCTGAGAAACGGCTACCACATCCAAGGAAGGCAGCAGGCGCGCAAATTACTTCCAATCCCGATACGGGGAGGTAGTGACAATAAATACTGATACGGGGCTCTTTTGGGTCTCGTAATTGGAATTAGAGACAATTTAAATCCCTTAACGAGGAATAATTGGAGGGCAAGTCTGGTGCCAGCAGCCGCGGTAATTCCAGCTCCAATAGCGTATATTAAAGTTGTTGCAGTTAAAAAGCTCGTAGTTGAACCTTGGGTCTGGCTGGCCGGTCCGCCTCACCGCGAGTACTGGTCCGGCTGGACCGGATCGCTCTTACGGGGAGCCCCATGGCCTTCACTGGCTGGGGGGGAACCAGGACTTTTACTGTGAAAAAATTAGAGTGTTCAAAGCAGGGCCTTTGCTCGAATACATTAGCATGGAATAATAGAATCAGGACGTGTGGTTCTATTTTGTTGGTTTCTAGGACCGCCGGTAATGATTAATAGGGATAGTCGGGGGCGTCAGTATTCAGCTGTCAGAGGTGAAATTCTTGGATTTGCTGAAGACTAACTACTGCGAAAGCATTCGCCAAGGATGTTTTCATTAATCAGGGAACGAAGTTAGGGGATCGAAGACGATCAGATACCGTCGTAGTCTTAACCATAAACTATGCCGACTAGGGATCGGACGGGATTCTATAATGACCCGTTCGGCACCTTACGAGAAATCAAAGTTTTTGGGTTCTGGGGGGAGTATGGTCGCTAAGGCTGAAACTTAAAGAAATTGACGGAAGGGCACCAGGCGTGGAGCCTGCGGCTTAATTTGACTCAACACGGGAAACTCACCAGGTCCAGACAAAATAAGGATTGACAAGATTGAGAGCTCCTTCTGATCTTTTGGATGGTGGTGCATGGCCGTTCTTAGTTGGTAGGAGTGATTTGTCTGCTTAATTGCGATAACGAACGAGACCTCGGCCCTTAAATAGCCCGGTCCGCATTCGCGGGCCGTCTCGCATCTTAAGGGGACCATCGGTCAAGCCGATGGAAGTGCGCAGCAATAACAGGTCTGTGATGCCCTCAGATGTTCTGGGCTTGACACGCGCTACACTGACAGGGCCAGCGAGGTACATCACCTTAACCGAGAGGTTTGGGTAATCTTGTTAAACCCTGTCGTGCTGGGGACAGAGCATTGCAATTATTGCTCTTCAACGAGGAATGCCTAGTAGGCACGGGTCATCAGCTCGTGCCGATTACGTCCCTGCCCTTTGTACACACCGCCCGTCGCTATTACCGATTGAATGGCTCAGTGAGGCCTTGGGATTGGCTTAGGAGGGTTGGCAACCGGACCCCCCAGAGCCGAAAACTTGGTCAAACTCGGTCATTTAGAGGGAGTAAAGTCTCTTACCTAAGGTTTCCGTAGGTGAACCTGCGGAAGGATCATTACCGAGTGAGGCCCTCTGGGTCAACCTCCCACCCTTTATTTACCTTGTTGCTTCGGCGGGCCCGCCTTAACCGGCGGCGCGGGGCTTCCGCCCCGGGCCCGCGCCCGCCGAATACACCCCCGAACTCTGTCTGAAGATTGCAGTCTGAGTGAAAATATAAATTATTTAAAACTTTCAACAACGGATCTCGCGGTTCCGGCATCGATGAAGAACGCAGCGAAATGCGATGCGTAATGTGAATTGCAAATTCAGTGAATCATCGAGTCTTTGAACGCACATTGCGCCCCCCTGGTATTCCGGGGGGCATGCCTGTCGAGCGTCATTTCTGCCCTCAAGCCCGGCTTGTATGTTAAGCCCCCGTCCCCCGATCCCGGGGGACAGGGCCGAAAGAGCAGCGGCGGCACCGCGTCCGGTCCTCGAGCGTATGGGGCTTTGTCACCCGCTCTGTAGGCCCGGCCGGCGCCTGCCACCAACCCAAATTTTTTATCCAGGTTGACCTCGGATCAGGTAGGGATACCCGCTGAACTTAAGCATATCAATAAGCGGAGGAAAAGAAACCAACAGGGATTGCCCCAGTAACGGCGAGTGAAGCGGCAAGAGCTCAAATTTGAAAGCTGGCTCCTTCGGGGTCCGCATTGTAATTTGTAGAGGATGCTTCGGGAGCGGTCCCCATCTAAGTGCCCTGGAACGGGACGTCATAGAGGGTGAGAATCCCGTATGGGATGGGGTGTCCGCGCCCGTGTGAGGCTCCTTCGACGGAGTCGAGTTGTTTGGGAATGCAGCTCTAAATGGGTGGTAAATTTCATCTAAAGCTAAATATTGGCCGGAGACCGATAGCGCACAAGTAGAGTGATCGAAAGATGAAAAGCACTTTGAAAAGAGGGTTAAAAGCACGTGAAAGTGTTGAAAGGAAGCGCTTGCGACCAGACTCGCTCGCGGGGTTCAGCCGGCACTCGTGCCGGTGTACTCCCCCGCGGGCGGGCCAGTGTCGGTTTGGGCGGTCGGTCAAAGGCCCTCAGAAGAGTAACGCCCCCAGGGGCGTCTTATATCCGAGGGTGCAATGCGACCTGCCTAGACCGAGGAGCGCGCTTCGGCTCGGACGCTGGCATAATGGTCGTAAGCGACCCGTCTTGAAACACGGACCAAGGGGAGTCTAACATCTACGCGAGTGTTCGGGTGTCAAACCCGTGCGCGAAGTGAAAGCGAACGGAGGTGGGAACCCGCAAGGGTGCACCATCGACCGATCCTGAAGTCTTCGGATGGATTTGAGTAAGAGCGTAGCTGTTGGGACCAGAAAGATGGTGAACTATGCCTGAATAGGGCGAAGCCAGAGGAAACTCTGGTGGAGGGCTCGTAGCGGTTCTGACGTGCAAATCGATCGTCGAATTTGGGTATAGGGGCGAAAGACTAATCGAACCATCTGGCAGCTGGTTCCCTGCCGAAGTTTCCTCAGGATAGCAGTAACGCGAATTCAGTTTTATGAGGTCAAAGCGAATGATTAGAGGCCTTGGGGTTGAAACAACCTTAACCTATTCTCAAACTTTAAATATGTAAGAAGCCCTTGTTGCTTGATTGAACATTGGGCATTAGAATGATGCGTTACTAGTGGGCCATTTTTGGTAAGCAGAACTGGCGATGCGGGATGAACCGAACGCGAGGTTAAGGTGCCGGAATACACGCTCATCAGACACCACAAAGGTGTTAGTTCATCTAGACAGCCCGACGGTGGCCATGGAAGTCGGAATCCGCTAAGGAGTGTGTAACAACTCACGGGCCGAATGAACTAGCCCTGAAAATGGATGGCGCTTAAGCGTGTTACCCATACCTCGCCGTCAGGGGTGGAAACGATGCCCTGGCGAGTAGGCAGGCGTGGGGGTCCGTGACGAAGCCTGGGGTGATCCCGGGTCGAC